ACAGTCCAAAGAGCTTAAATCCTGCATTGTCACCACTAAGCATATGTTGTGGTCGAGTGGATATGTCACCAGACTGTTGATCACAAGGTCAGCGGTTCAAGTCCCGCCGCGGCACTAATGTCCTTTGGCAAGACATTGATCTACATTTGCCACTCTTTACCCAGGCTTTAAATGGGTACCCGGTAGGATGCGAAAGCTAATGTGATTAGATTAGCAAGTGTGCCCTTGTAAAAATGACGTCTGGCTGGAATGCTCCCCAGGAAGTGGAGAATGTGCATACATTGTGTGCGGATAAGCCTGAATCCCATGACCGGGGTAATAATATATATCTGTAAAGCGCTTTGAGAGGGCCTGCGGTCCTGAAAAGCGCTATATAAGAATGAACTATTATTATTATTACTTTCTTTTACCTGAATATCAAACAATCTAGATGTAGAGTAGGGCTGCGGTTAAACCATGTAAGAGAGGGGGAGGGAGGATTGGGGAGTCTACATGTATTGGACTCTCAATATTTCCCCTACATTCCCACTGAATACACATAATAATAATAATAATCTGGATTTATATAGCGTTTAATACAGAATAACGTCTCTTAAGCGCTTTACAGATATTATTACCCCAGTTGTCGGATTCATTCACGTACAATGTGTACCATCTCCACTCCCTGGGGGGTATTCCTACTATATGGTCACCGTTGGGGCATAGGCAATTACTACACGAATGGTTTCATCATCCTACCGGGTCCCATTTCTCTCTTGGGTATTGAGTGTCAAATGTAGATTAATGCCTTGCCAAAGGGTATTTGTGCTATGTCGGGATCGAACCATGACCTTTGAATTTCAAGTCAAGTGCTCAAACCACTCGACTACGACACATATCACTTTTCATAACGCAGATAAAAAGTGGCACATATTTCAAGTACACAAAAAAACAATATAATAAATAATGAAATACTGTTAAGATTTGATACTAAAAAGCACTGGACGGGATACCATAGATTTGCACGTGTTCATTTTCAGTGTATCAATAAAGAAATAATTAGTAAAATTAGTACTAAAATGACATATTACCTTAAACATGGCTATATATAAAATGATCGTGCAGTAATAGAAAGGTAAATGCACACAATTTCAGTACTTTTTAAACTTGTAATAGCAATAAATGATGAACACATAAATTTGTTGAATCAAGCATTTTGATCTCAAATAGGATAAAAATTATCCAAATATTCTGGAAGTACTGTCCCAGCAGGGAAACTTTGTTTTACTCCAAATTAACATCTTTCTAGTATTAAAAAATGTCATTATATCCTCCTTCACGTTTAAAAATGATTAATAAATTAAATTTATGACGCAAATCTATGCAAAAGGTTTACGGACACGAATATCAGTGAGTTGTTAAAATTGTAGATGTACATTGAAAATAGAAATAACTAGATGGAATTTTGACTGCGCGCAGTCGAAAATGATGCCTCCGCCATAGAGCAATTTAAACAAGTTTGGAGTTTAAATCTCCAGTGGTTCTTGAGATATCATGATAACAATCTCAATGTATGGAATTTCATAAGTTGACCTCTGTGACCCTTGACCTTTGACCTACGTGCTCCAAAATCTAATCAGATTGTTTTCCTATAGTGATACACACTATCACTAAGTTTGAAGTTTAAATCTCCAGTGGTTCTTGAGATATCATGATAACAATCTCAATGTATGGAATTTCATAAGTTGACCTCTGTGACCCTTGACCTTTGACATACGTGCTCCAAAATCTAATCAGATTGTTTTCCTATAGTGATACACACTATCACTAAGTTTGAAGTTTAAATCTCCAGTGGTTCTTGAGATATCATGATAACAATCTCAATGTATGGAATTTCATAAGTTGACCTCTGTGACCCTTGACCTTTGACATACGTGCTCCAAAATCTAATCAGATCGTCTTCCTATGGTGATACATACTATCCTTAAGTTTGAAGTTTAAATCTCAAATGGTTCTTGAGATATCGCGCTAACAAACTCAATACAAGGAATTTCATAAGTTGACCTCTGTGACCTGTGACCTTTGACCTACGTACTCCAAAATCTAATCAGATCGTCTTCCTATGGTGATAAATACTATTCCCGAGTCTTAAGTTTAAATCTTAAATGGTTCTTGAGATATTGTGATAACGGTCAAACGGGACGGACGGACGGACGTACGGACGTACGGACGGACAACCCGAAAACATGATGCCTCCGGCACCACCTTCGGTGGCGGAGGCATAAAAATTGACTTTCAAGTGAAAAAGAATATCCATTAGTACTGATTATAATAATGATTATTCTTCATAATTTAAAGGCAGGCATAATTGTTAGTCAATTAACAAAATTCACAAAACTTTCTTTTTTCTTTTAAGATGAATTGATAGAAAACTTCTGAGATGCAAAATCACAGGATAACCACGCACAACAAAAGAGTTGCAGATTAAAATGATGTATAAAAAGTTAAAATGTGAAGGGAAGTTACAAGGAATATTTCTTGTATACATGGTGCGTGTACATTTCAATCTTTAAAATTAGATGGTTGTGAATTTGTGAGAACTAAATGAGAGGATTCAAAATTTATGAAAAGTGGTTTCACTTGACAGCAAGCTTAAAGATATATATGTTTTTCATGTATACGTGGTACATGCACATATGCCTTATCAAATAATTGATGGTTATGACAACATTGACAAGCAAATTTTTTAAAAAGAAGAAAATAAAACGAGTTGAATAAATCACTGATCTCAATATAGGTCCAGGAGAACCTGCAAAAATAGTACCAGTATACAAAATGTACAATTACTGTTAAATTTTCTATGATAAAACTCTTTTCTAAAGCATCCACATGAAACAAGAATAAACATGATTATTGAAATCATTCTACTTTGGCACCCAAAAAAAGAGTAAAACAGTAATTGAAGGTTCAAAAGAAGCAATTCTTAAAATATCCCTCCTTCTTCTTTCTTCTCCTCCACTTTGAATTATTTCAGATTATCTTTCTAAGAAGTAAGATATTGTACTTCTCAAATTTCAATTTGAATGGATTAGTGGCATTTATAAAAATTGTATGTAAATAAGTGGGGAAGGATACAAGATAGATTGCTGAATTTTTTTAATCAATAATTGTTGCCTAGTGTTTTGTGCCCATCTGCACAGTTGGCAAACAAGCAACAGTACAGAGAGGCTCAGAAAGCAATTCAAGTGTTCACACCAGTTTCAATCTCCAATGAACTTCAAGCAGAATATACCTGCTTGTGTGTTTCAGGGAGATAACAATTGACAATCCCAGCCCAAAATACATTATTCAACAATGAAATGGTTGGGCTGGGTTAGCTACAAGTACACAGGGCAAGCAGTGAAGAAGGCCTTATTCTCTGGCCTCCAAAAGCAGCAAATTAAGAAGTACATCTAAAAGTAATATCGCACTTGAGATCTACCAGTATACATCATGTTATTGCAAGACCGTACATCAAAGCGTTTTGACAATTTTTTGATCCCAAATAGGATAAAAACTATCCAAACAGAACCTGGAAGTACTGTCCCAGAAACAAAACTTTGTTTTACTCCAAATCAACATCTTTCTGCTATAGAAAATGTCAATACATGTATATCCTCCTTCACGGTTAAAAATGATTATTACTTCATTCCACACAAAAATGGTTGGGCTGGGTTAGCCACAGGTACACACAGCACCGAAGCAGAGACGCAGGCTGTATTCTTAGGACTCCAAAAGCAGAAAATTAGGAGGTACATCTACAAGTAATGTCTGCACGCTTCAGATCTACGGTTAGACATCGTGTCATTGCAGCCGATCAAAGCGTTTTGACAAACAACAAGCCATTCCAGGCCACTGTTCAGCACCAACTTCATTTAAGGCACCTACCGGTAAAGAATGTTTTCTGAGACAGTTGCCTCAGGGAAGGACTGAAGCCTGGGGTGTTCACTTGGTAAATACAGTTTACAACTGCATTATTCATACCCCTTGAGAAAAAAATATTTGTGTGTGTTTTTCGCAACTCAAGATTGAAAGTTGACCTGCTTGAATAAAGTCCTGTTAGATGTAAGCTTTGATATTTCATATTCACAAGAAACATAAATCAGGACAAATCTTTTTTTCACATACTTAAGAAACTACAAAACTTGGTAAGGGTATGAATAATTTAGTTCTTAATTGTAGATAAGATGTTGCTACACATGACTGTTCAAGAATTTCAGAGTAAACAACTATTTTGAAGAAAACAAGGGGAAAGTTATGCAATTAACCTCCTTATCTAACATGGACACAAGAATATTATGGATTGTAATTTGTAAAACCTCTTCTTTCCAGAGGATTATCATCAAAGAACCTGTGCTCATGTGAAAATCAAGGATCTGCTTTTCCAAAGCACCCCTAAAATGCTATTTCGTAGACTGTCTGTATTGGTTTTCAAAAACACCCCGAACTCATGGATATCGCAGATCTTGTTAAAAAATTGTTTCAATTTTAAAGTACTCTAACTCTGGACAATCACAGACTGCGAAATAGATATGGAAAGCTCTGAAAAAAATCCTTTTCTGTGGATTTGGAACAGTCATGCATAGATAATATGATTGTATGTGTGCCAAGCAGAAAGGACTACATGTGACTATATGTAATTCAAAGCTTCTAATTTTTTTTCTTCACTTTATCATTTAATAGGTCAAAACATTGGATGTGTTATCCACAGAAATAGTTTCTGCCCATACACTATTTCTTTGTCCTTACAATTTTGTTTTATCATCGAGGAGGCGCAATAGCTCAGATAGTAGATCAGTGGTCTCGTATTCCGGTGACACGGGTTCGAAACCAAGTCAATGCGCTAGTGCCCTTTGGTAAGGCATTAATCCTCATTACCTGGTCCCTCGGAGAGCAGTCAGGTAAAATAACGACCACCACAACCACCACCACATACTAAGGTGAAAAAAGAAAGAAGAAACTTGACCAACTTTGCATTCCCGCCCTTCTGCAAGGCACACAACAGTTTGATAGTGAGTGAACACCCCGGGCACGACTGAAGCAACGTCTTAATTGCTTCAAGTGCACTGGTCTAGGTGCATTCTTAACAGACCATCTTTGTGCATCATAAGCATGGTGCTGAACTCCTCCGTCAAGCTGTGTACAGAGAGAGGCCCATCAAGGTCGTCGTAGTAGTGGTATTTTAAAGGACGCAGGTTCAAATCCCTGGAGAAAGGCCAGAAGCCGTACAGGTTCGTCTCGTCACAGAGGGAGAGAGCCAGAGTGACCACGTACAGACCTGCAAGACAGATAAACTCACTATTAATGGCGACTCTCGGTCATAGATTTCTATTAAAGACCTTGTCAGAAGTGAGAAAGGAAATGGATAAAGCATATATCGTAAAGCTAGAGGAGTAGCAGCTCTCTGAGAACCTGACATTTAAAGTTTTGAAAATTGGAAGTTGACTAACTTCCTCTGATAAGCTCATTTTGAACAAAAGATTAAACCAAGCAAGTGTTTAACGTTTACTAGAATATGGGCAATTTTTTTAGACAATATGAATAGTATGGATATTATGGACAATTACGTGACAATAAAGCATAGATAAACATCCATGGTATTGTACGGTTTTTATTTCACTGATCCAAGTGGTTACTTTTTTATTTTACACTGTACATTTAGCTTTCCACTCCGTTATGCTTCAGCGCACTCCTGACCTACATTCATTCTCTCATGTCTGCTAGCTCTTGGCTTCTATTGTTCTGTCCCTATTCATTCACCCTCATTCACATTACCTGCCATAGCACCACACACACACACACTCTTCCTATCTATTGCCTATTCAACCCAGCACACTATAGGCACATGGCACTCTATTCTTTACAAGCTTTCCTGTTGGTTGCTTACTTATTGTCCAATCTTGTGATTGGATATGATTGTTTGATGGACTAGATGTCAGCCATCTTGGCAGCCATTTTTGTGGTTGTATTAAAATCTAACAGTGCAGCTCAAGTCATCAAACATGTAAGACTAGTTTTGTCTTGTGTGGGTCCTTACAGTATGAATCATACACATTCCTGGTATGTAGGATAAAAGGGGCATCATATCTCATTGAGCTGCTCTTCAAGCAGTGTTCCAGACTTTTAAATCTGTTTGACTGATAGATCATCTCTAATAACTATATTGACAATGAAACCACGAACCTGTACTGATTCTGGTACTGAGAAACTTTGTCCTCCAGAAATCTTGGACTGCGGCAAAATGCTCTGGATTGCCGATAATCAGCTTCAGGTTTGGAATGTCTTTGGATTGGTGGAGGAGTCTCGCTACCCTCATACTGTACGAGAGTCCTGATTTGAGTCCAAGTAAGGGCATCCACAGGTAACCATGGAAACCTTGCAAATTTCGGATGAACTTCTTACTGTCACTCATTGTCTGCATAAAATTGTACCTGTGGGAAGGAAATATGATATACACAAGGTCATATAAAACTTACTAATAATCAGGTACTGTAAACGTGGTAATATTTGCGGTGTTTTAATTTTCGCGGATTTCACACTAGTCGGTGTCCGCGAATATTACATACAACCTGCAAATATATAAGCATGACTTCTTACGCGTGTTTTGAACAGGCTGAATTGCGTGCAACGCAAATTTAAGAACCCGCGAATATGTTTTGGGGTCGTCAGCGCAAAAAATTAATCACGCAAAAGATAACAGCGTTTACAGTATTTTCCCATATATTTCATGATTTTGCATCAGCATTTATTTATTTGCAATATGACTATATGTAAGTAATTAAGTTTAAGTTCAAATACATGTATAACCCAAAATATTGCATAACTGTTATTTTCTTGTAATGTGTTTATCAAATATTCAATCATGAATACTCCATAGTTGATATCTGATAATATTACAGATCTTAATAGATACCATATTGACAACAAATGGAATGCTGTAAATTATTTAAAAGTAATACCTACTTGAAAGTACATTGTTTTTAATCGATCAAAAGAGGTTATTTATTGTTTAGTTTGTTTACCAATCTGTAAGTTTTTATAAGCCTTGTCACTTAATTTACTTAAAGATAATATAATCAATTGTAATTTTACTAACCTTTTAGCAATGATTGAGATTGTGTTTAGTGTAGTTAGGTTTGATTTCCTGCCAACGTCCATCTCAAATCCTTTTAGATCTGGTAAATTACATCTGTCAAACAAAAAATGAATACCAATGGATGAGGTATGAAATTATATTATCTAGAATGAACATAGATAAAAAGAAAACTCATGTACATGCATCCAATTCCTTAATTCAACTCCCTAAACCTCGAGACATAGTAAAGAGGCCAGTACCAAATGATATTCTTTGATATTGCAATATCTAGACACATATGTATGTGACCACTTCATCTTTCATTTCAAAATATAAAAGACCTATGTCTTTGAAACTTATATACAATACAAGTAAAGAATAATTTATCTATTTATTTATTTATTTCTGATATTTATACAGGTTGGCACATATCACCAATTTGGTGGTCTTCGATGAGGCCCTGTTTGGTAATACACAAGTATACAAACAGGTAAAATACAAATTAATTGGTATCCTCATGAAATAACTGATCATTCAACAACTATCCTTGATCATTTACAAGAAAAATGTGAATGTAATTTTCAATTTAAATAGAAAATACATTTAAATTAAATTAAATTAAATAATAATCATTTATCATCTCCATATTGACTCTCATCAGCATGAGTAGTTCATTTCAAATGATCTGAATTGAAGGTGATATACTTTAATTAAGGATTACCTGAATATAAAGTCTGCACCATCTATACCTTCACCGCATTTACTGTTCACTAATATCCCACTACCGCCAACCACTGAGCACTTTGGGAACCTGACCTTTGAAAACGGAGATTCCTGCAAGTTAGGACAGACAAATACATACTTTAAATTCATAATTGTTTTCCTATTCAAAGTCAATATTGCAAAAATATTCAACGAGTAATATTCTTTAAAGTATTTTGTAAAGAAAGTATGGTGGCCCAGTGGACAGAGCGGGGGTCTTGGGACAAGGGTGTCCTAGGTTCAAGACCACTTGGGTACAACAGTCCCCTCTGATTGGGCATTCATCCTCCATTACCAAATCTTTGGATACAAATTAAAACTTAAAGCAGTAGGTCCTCTTGTTGCTTGTCTATTATTTTATACTTGATTTGTTAGCAGCAAGGTAAATCAACATCAACATCATACTCAAATATCTCATATTTCCGAAAGCTGTTCAAATACCATCCTCATCTGAATATGTTATTTTGAGAACTGGTTCCTCCCTAAAAAAGGGACTTTGAAAGCAATCCCCAACCTCCACTCGCAACTGCTTCATTGGCTTAAACTGAATTCAAGAGAAAATACCATGGTGCGGAGAATAAAAGCATCATTGCTGCATTGTGGGGGCAGTCCTGGAGTACCAAACGCAAGGCAGATATCACTTGATCAATAAGGACCCACTTTCAAGACAGGGCGTGCCATTTAACATTTTCAAGCAACACATTAAAGCTGTAAGCATTTTCAGGTAGGTTAATACCAAATTGCAAGCAGAGTAAAATCTGTGAAGTAAAGACTGCTCACTTGAGACGAGAGAGGTGATCTTTACAGATAGGTGTACAGGTCCCTTTAATACATACTACAATGAGATACACTGTACTAGGAAAATAAAAGATGTGGTCTTTACAGAAAGGTGGAATTTGTATCCACGTGGTTGCTATAGCAGGTCTGCACTGTACAGTGTGAGTCAAAAAAAAGTTTACACCTAGAAAATTGCTGATTATTCTAAAAATCATCCATAAATAGTAAATTATTATACATCTTATGAAAGAGTGTTTTATCCCGAATCATTTGGTATCATTTTTGTGTGGTATGTGTTCACGCTTGGATGAACAGGAGGCATTGTTTGCGTGAGTGCAAAATTCGACTTGCGCCAAAACTGCTTATGTGATGTTTGATTAAAACAAGTGGGATTCGGGTATTAATTCGGTCTTTGAAGATCCAAATAACATTTTCCTTAACAAAATTAATCATGCCACACATATCAAATATCGAATATCGAATATCAACAAACATTTTGTGCACTCGCACTCGCGTGTGTGTGACTTTGCTTCTGCAAAAAGCATATTGCATTTCATTTGATACATTCAAATCATTTTCTCACTCCGCTAATCCCAGCATAATACATACTGTAGGCATCACTTTGGCGCAAGTCGATTTTTGCACTCTCGCAAACAATGCCTCCTGTTCATCCAAGCGTGAACACATACCACACAAAAGTGACACCAAATAATTTGGGATAAAACACTCTTTCATAAATTGTATAATGATTTACTGTTCATTGATGATTTTTAAAATAATTAGCAATTTTCTAGGTGTAAACTTTTTTTTGACTCACACTGTACATGGACCAGAGAACAGAACCTGTCCTTACCTTTGGGAGAAAGTTGAAGATTTCGGATGTGATATTGGCCAAGGCATCTCGATTGAGGGAATACCTCACTTGCTGTCCAGGTTTAGTGTTGTTCTGAGTCAAGATGGTGTTCATAACGCTTGCTTTATATTCCTCTAGCTGTTGCCTGCAATGAGGATTTAGAAGTTCAAAGGTCATTTATCATTCTCGCTTTCATCATGGATGTGTTTAATACTTGACTGGAAGCTTTGAACTCTCAAGAGAAAAACACTGCTTGTTACATTCTTCATAAAAAGGATTATTATGGTCAAGATGATATCTAAACCTGAGTATTAAAAGCTATAAGCTTCCTTTGAACAAATAATTCAAGAAATACAACAATTTGGGGGGCCTATAAAATTGTCCTAAAAACAATTCTCAACAAAAAAAAGGAAAAATTGAATGTGCGGCAACATTTATCAACACCAGAGTATGCCTCTTAAATAATAATTTACTTGTTCATTCTTAAAAATAAGTTACATAAGAATTATTTTTGTCCAAGTATATGTTATTATTACTTCTGCGTCTGGTGCATTCAATTGTCAAGCCTTAGTGGCTTTTACGAATGCACCATTTTCCATTTGTACTATGGTTTATACCTTCATATTTTCTTTATATTTTGAATACTATTATGTCAATTTATATGAAATTTTGATATTGTTATCTGTTATAAAATTCCATATTTTATGTTTGTTTATATTGTCAAGATGATGTAAATGTCAATTCAATCTTAATCTCACCTAAATTTTAAGACTCCGTCTCTATTTGCCGTCCAGCTCTTGTAGGCTAGCGCCCTCATCTCCTCAATCTGTGGAGCAGAGTGGTTGGTAATCTCCATCCACAGGGTCGCCTCCACCTCAGGGTCAATGACCTTGGGGTCATCGGGGTTAACAAACTTTCTGGACCTCCATGAATCTTGAATCAAGTTACTGCCGTTCAGGTGTTTGCCGTCAGAGAGGGAACCTTTGATATTATCTTCTCTGGTGTGATTTGAATCTGGAGGAATTCTCTTTTTGGCACCACTGTTTATACAAAAAGAAAGAAAGAAAGAGCGAGCAAAAATAATTACTATAAAGTTGATGACAAAATGTTTGGTGATAATGGGGCTTGAAATAAAGGGAGGTCAGGAATACTGTACGCTATTTAGATATTAAAGGCAGATCGGACATCATGAATATATATTTCACAAGTTAACCTGTATCATCCCTAAAACCTCCAATGATCGACTTCTACAAATTCAGCTGAAATGTACTTTATGAGGATAACCTTTACTTTTATATTTGATATACTATTTTACTACAAATCAAATACTGTACCTCTTCTCTTCTCAATAAGAATTTAAAGAGGTGGGCTAAATGTAAGTGACTGTGGTGTTGCATTAACAAAATCGATTTGTAGGCAAATGTACAGCCCATTTCATTCATCCGCTTATCTCTGAAAATCTCTCATTGATTCAAAGGGATAATCAGATGGTTTTATGGAGTGCACCATCCAGAAATCATGTCCTTTTGAATTTGCTTCTTTCTTCTGCTTTTTAATCGTAACCTTGACAGGATTTATGGGAAAGATTTAAGTTTCCTGATGATTTTGATAACACTCTTCATTTAGTGTGGTTGAACTAGGATTTCAGATGAAAACTGTGATCATTTCCATACCTTCTTCCTCTGACGAGTGCTGATAAATGTAAGTCCAACTCCAAAAAATCTCTTTCTTCCTTCTTTGCTCTCATCTTAGTGCAGACTTTCACCAGGACCACAACCAGTACCACCGTCAGGATAACCCGCGTCCATTTCCGGGTGAGCATGGTTTCATGAATGTCGGGTGCAAACGCTCATAAATGTTAGACGTTAACCAAGTTCTGTTAGTCCTGCTCCAATTTCTTAGGCCTTGCACTTCATGTAGTCAATCTGAAATGCAAAGTGAACAAATCAAGTTCCATCATTCATGGACAGAAATAGGTGGATGTAGATCTACTTGAATTTGTGCATTTTGCCGTGAAACTGGACATATTCATTATCCAGACAGTTTATTTCAAACAGTAATTGTAGAATCTAACATGCAATATTTCACAAATATTTTAGGAAGCTTACATTGAATATTACTATACATGACATTTATGAATAGTGTTTGATGCATATTTTTCTTTAAATCCAAAGACAGAGGTGATTTCTTGTTACATGTCAAGAAAAAGTAGGGTCTACATGTACCAAACTTCTTTGAAAAGTACAGTATAACAAGTAACACAGGATCTGGAATATATCAGATCCAAAACTCTGCTGAATAAGAGCGCCTACAGCTTCTGACAAAGGAGGAATGGAAGCTAGAGTTAACAGGACGATTGTCAGGCCAGCAAAAGCAAAATTGACATATTTCTACATCGAAATATCAACAATGCAAGAATTGCATGCTCCCCACAAACACAAAAAGGAAGGAAATAAAAACGATCCTCTGAAAGTTTACGTTAGTGTGACTCTTATGAGGTCCATTTCTTAAAAAGATAATTTTTACCATTGCATGGTCCATGGATTGCTTTGATCATCTCATTTGAAAGGCTTTGTTAAAATGTAACAATAAACCTAGCCTAGGTTTAATTAATATAAAGGTCTAGACTAGACAACATCATGAATGCAATGTCAATGTCTCACCATCTAAAGACTAAACTAAACAGTCACACATATTTGACAACTGACACACATTTATTTTTATTTCAAATAAGTTAGAACATGTACTTACTTCTAAAGATCTGGAGTCACAGCAGTAATATGACAAGATAGTGATTAAAATCACTCTTACAATGCATGAGTTCAAATTTTCAAACCATAAAAAATATCCACATCAAACTAAGAAGTAATGAAATTGAAGGTGTGTCAGAAGGTGTGTCAGAAGGTGTGTCAGTATGCGGCAAGACAACTGAAGAAGATCAACAAAAGTAAATTAGAATCTAGATCTGTATATCTGCACACAAAATTATCTGACCATGGCCATTAAAGGTAGAAACTTTACATGATGTACTGGCGCACACGATACACCTGCTGTCACCAATCAATGGAATTCAAGATTGAATTAAACTTCCAATCAATTCACACGAAGTTGACGAACACTGCACTGCACTGCACCGGGATAATGTTAACGGCAGCGTTACAACACTTGAATAACAACACATGGGACTGAACAAAAAATTACAGGCTACAAATTCAACCGAAGATAAACATCAAAGGGGCAAAGTACATACCTACATGTATTTACTCTGATCTGAAAGGAAATGGCGACAATCTACTCACATTGATGATAACGACGTCTTGACTCTTGATTCAAGGCAAGAAGCCCCGCCCCTTCTCAAACAAAGTCAGTTGTTTACATTTCTTCTGACTCACTCCCAGATAACGGTGAAGTCCTCCGGTACCACCTCCGGCGGCACTGTGATGTGAGTGCATTAACTGCGTACCGTCCAACCGTCGGACAACGATGCGATATCTCTTTTTCGACTTCTAACGTTTTGGTAAAATAGAGCATTAACCTTTATCTTTTTTGTTTGTTAAACGGCATAATGAAGGCATGATTATCAAAAAGTTTTATTTGTAAAAGGCTAGCTATTGGAAGGGTCAAGGGATCGATACTGAGTACGACAATACTCTGCAAGGGGATGTACTCCCGGGTGTACTCCAATAGCAGCAGAAGAAGAAGAAGATACCCATGAAATACAAGTCGTTGAACATGATGGATGCCTTCAAAATGATAGTTAACGAGGGAACTCCTCCACTCCAATGGTGGATCACTATTCTCTGACCGTGCTGCACAATTAAGTTATGTGACAAGCAAAAAACAATAATGATGAAAACAGAAATTATGTGTCTCAGCTATAGTCAACCCTGCCCCCCCCCCCCTCTCTCTCTCTCTCTCTCCGTCTCCCCTCCCTCCCTTCCCCGTCCTCTCCTGCAATATGTAACATTTGGACATAAAGATATGAAAACAAATAGTCAGAGAAGAAGGTAATGAAAAGTAAATTGCTTAAAAAAAACATTTGTATATATGCATATTTTTTTCTTTTTACTGAGGATATTGCATATTTTTTTCTTTTTACTGAGGCCTTTTTTTCTTCACATAATTTGGTCTCTGCTTATATAAGGAGGCAAACGGCATATCCTTTTGAATTTAAAATGCAATGTTTTTTATTAAGTCATGGCCAGTGATTCGGGATTGACATTATAACCTTTTTTTGAAAACGTTGGCCCTACATTTTATTTGTTTTAGGTTATCATCCGTCATTCTTGCAGTCTCAGTCTTTCCTGGGATAGTTAGGTGAATCTTAATTTAGCTGGTGGAGTTAAATGAGTTAGATGTCATGTCGCAAAGGTGACTTCACAAGAAACTACAAAGTTTTGCATGAGGCGAAACCATTAAGAGCTGGTTCGAGAATGGGCTGGTCTCAAAATTCAACCAACAGCAAAAAACACAAGGCCTTTAATCGGGCCATATAGTGAGGCAATTAATTATGTTTCCCTTTTCTCTTCTTCTTATTTATTTATTATTTGCTTGTTAGTATCTTTCTCTTTCTTCTCCTCCTCCTCCTCCTCCTCCTCCTCCTCCTCCTTCTTCTTCTTCTTCTTCTTTGCTACTTTAATTTCCTTCTCTCTCTTGTTCAAAGGGCTCAAACTTCTTTTAGATTTCTTTCTTTTTCTTTGGTAAGGCCCAGGACAATTTGAAGAAAAAAACCTGTCCATGATAAGCCGGTATACACTTATTTGTCTTTACTTATATACAAGTCCAGTATTTCCATGCCAATGTTTTACTAAATATAGAATATCATTTTAAACAAGATGTGCCGAGAATGAGAGATGTCAAACAAGCATTTATATCCAGCAATGTTGCCAGGTCCCAGCAGAACAATATCACCAAACGTACGGCATGTGAAAAATAAAAAAAAAATATAGAAATTCAACCAAAAATGCCCGATATCAATGCGAATATACGGGCTTATAATTGTATTTTAGAATTTTAGAATTTTGCCAATTGGATGATGTCAAAAATTTCATATGTAGGCCTAATAAACAAAAACAAGAAAACTGACAAAAAAAATATTATTTTCTGATTGATATTGTGTGCCTGATGGCATGCCCATTTACCATAATTATGAAATACCGATCAGGCTGATGACAGCTATAAGCCTAGAGGTTGTATATTAAAAAACTGATTATTTTTGTCCCCCTCTTACTTACTCATTGGTTTAATAGTTAAATCTAATATCTAGGTCTAGATCTATTTTTTCTTCCAAATCACAACATTTTGGTTTGGCGACAAGCTCTAATTTTGTTCTCGTCAAGGCTTTAGAAAAAAATCTTGTGTTTTTTTGTGTTACCGAGATGACCATTGTAATTGGTAATTTTTCATAATTATTTTGTCTTTTCACAGACGCCGTATCAATTCAAATTTGCACGGCGGATGGGGTTAAAAAGCGTGAATGAATGAACGCTGAGAGTTGGCTTAATTCATATTGTTCAGTCGCAGATAACAAGATAAAAAGAAAAATATAGAATTTGAAAACCATTCTAAACAACAAAAGCAGGATGTGTGCTGCCGTTTCTTCGAGTCATTGCGGAATAGATGTCTGCGTTGATGAAGATGTGTTGAGCAAAGCACCGCACTGTCCACACGGTAAGCTCGAACTCTCGGCCCCGGCTCGGCTGGGGACAAGCGCAGGCCAAGTCAGGGCTCCGTGTCATGATCTCTCGGCCTGACTTTGTACACATTGAATCATGCTGCGTGTGGGGATTATCCCCACACACAGCATGATAATATAAAGTCGAGTCTGATTATTGCACAAGCCACAATAATATTAATGCTTACTAATGAAAATGTACAAGGGTCATGATTAACATTTTAATAGATCTAATTCAGATTTCAGAATCATGACAAAAAGTCAATAGATCTAAATTATCTTTGCCTAGGGCTAGGCTAAGGCTAAGAGTAAGACTAAGTTGGCAGTAGGGGCGTTGGTCCGAGAATAAGGATTGTCCTCAAAAACAAGGATCGTCTGCAAAAAAGCAGATGTTCAATATTTTTGATCGGCACATTGGCGATGCAAAAAACGGATTCCGGGATGATTTTCTTGATGCATTTTACATTGACTTTGTACAGAGAATTTCACATTATGCAGAGACGCCAAGGTAAAAGATCGGCAATGCGTGACATTTTCATTTTTCGGCGCGCGTGCGAGGGTATAACACACGTATAGGTATGGCGTTTTTTTAATCTAGCGCGCGCGCCGTGCGTGAGAGCCGTTTTCAGACCCTCCAAATACGTGACGTCACGCCTAATGCGTGACACTTGGTAGCTCTGATTATGAGCAATAAATCCCTGGGCAGACGGACAACCCATAAAAGTAGACTGTCAACTAGGGTTTTTTTCCCCTGGGCCTGGGGAATCCAAATTTGGCATTGCCAGAGGGCGGTTCGGTAACCCGAAACCCGCAGAGCGCTGATGAAAAAAAATTGATCCTTGTTTATGAGGACGTATTTTGTCCGCGTTTATGAGGATATCCTCGTTTATGAGGACGATCCTCATTCTCGGACCAGCACCCTAGCCCTGAGGCCTAACCATGTGTGAATGTGTGAACTGAATTTTTTTAACATGTTCAATAATGGAAGAAAGAGATCATTTTGAATCATTTGTCATTGAATGTCGACTACAACTAAAAAGTACTGGAAAGTCTAGGATTAGAGTCGAGAGTAGAGTCTATGCAGCTAATGCAAGAGTCACACAGCACAGAAAATCACAATCGCTCATTACAATACATGAGCCATTGGCATGGTAGATTTTTGACACAATTAATATGAAATGAAAACAAAATCTTTTTTGCTATCGTGTCAACAAATCAAGACTGTTGCCCCTGCCATTTTTTGAACCGAAGTCACACCAACCAAACTTAATGACAGTAAAAGAAAATATGGTGACTTATGAATTAACAATCTAGATCTAATTAAAGAAAAAAATTCCCAATAACAAGATTGTCTATGCTGCATGTATATATTTGTTTAATACGTACACATTTCTTCAATGCAGGACCAACCCTTCTGTTTGAGCGTTTCACCCCAGGCAAGGACACAAGCCAACGCTACTATGCCTGCTCGGCCTGCAGAGATAGGAAGGACTGTGGGTTCTTCCAGCTCCACACCAATGCTGAGATCGTCTCAGACTTCAAGCAGCAGATGAGAGAGGAGTACAACCGCTCCAGACAACCCTGGAAACGGCAGGAGGATTATTACCAAAGGTTTGTAAAGCATATTACAGTTATGATTTTACGTTTTATTTTTTTATAGATTATACAATGTAATTACTAATCACAAAGTTTCTAGCACAAAAACAAACTTTATTGGATTTCCTTTTAATAGTAGGCTTAACAAAGACAATGTCACAATTGAAAGTAACAAAAATGTCCCAAAAATCTTATTGCTTATACATGATTACATGTAGTATACAATGTGTATTGAAATATATTAAAAACACTGTTTTCTATTATGAAACAACTTATTTTTATCCATGTTCTGTTCATTGATTAGTTTTGAAGAAATGATAAACCCATTTGTGCTCAGCAAATAGTTATTGCTTAATAAATCATTTATATCAAGCCATGCTAAACCTGAAGTAATACCACTCTAGCACCATAAGTGTCACGTGTGACAGATGTTTGTTGATGCCTTGGTCAGAGGTCTATCATGGAGGATACATCTTATAATACAGTGAAACCTGTCTATAAAGACCACCCTAGGGAGACAAGGAAAGTGGTCTTTAAAGGCAGATTGTCTTTATGTAAAGGTTCCTTTAGTACATGTTTTAATGAGAAACCATTTTCAAGGGAAACAAAGAATGTGATTTTTGTAGACAGGTGGTCTTTCTACACAAGTGGTCACTAAAGCAGGTTCGGCTGTACCACAATCAAATTATTAACTGTATATGGTAGAATTGATGCTTTTACAGTCAAATATTTTGCAAACTTTCCCCTCTTCAGATTCATCACAACAGAGAGCCTTGCTGAGGATGAGAGAACATTCTGTTATGATTGCCAGCTGCTCATCCTACCAGATGAACAGCCTGATCACATAAAACATCGCACCAAGAAGGGAATCCCTAACCCAGACTTGGCAAAACCCAGCTATCTGATGGAGGCTATTGAGAATAACAAAACCAATGCGGTGAGCCTCTTTTATGAAAGATACAGGGCTGTAGTATGTAGGCCCACAAGCAATGCTTCATGAAAAGAAGAAGTTAATCCCAATTATTGTGTCACTTACGGTGAAGAGCACATTTTTCATGCTAGTAGAAATGAGCCATCATTTTGGAACCTACATGAATACCAATACCATTAATTTTGAAATACTGTATAACTGCAGTTTGTAAGCAAGAGCAATTTTCACGTCCTAAAACTTTTGAGAATCCCCACCAAACCTTGCAAAAGTTGGGAGCATTTCATGTCCGTGAAAGTTTGTGGTGTTACGGTTATTGCTCATTCGGGGCTGAAGTTCAGAACTCTGCCATTTTCAGTTGAAAGGTAATGTTTCAAGGTAATGTTGGTCTACTCCAGATGTAGAATTGTTTTACTTTTTTCTGGAAATGATTGCCCAAGGAAGAAAAGAAATAAAGTTTGCTCACCTCATTAAGATTTGTGTACACCAATTCATTGTGCATGTCTTACCTGTCATCAAGATGTTCGCCTTACTTGGGTTCGATTAAATTCCTTTCCTCTCATTTTGTGATTTGATAGGGCATTTTAGGAGTTAAATAATTCCAAAGATATAATTTTCTCTATTTTTCTTTCTCCACAGCAATACTTATTTTCCACCAAGGCAGTGACATTCTTCATCCAAACAGTGAAAGCTCTGGGGTTCAAGAGAATACTATGTGTAGGTGTTCCAAGGTAAGATCACTGTTATGTTAAACTTGACCAAAACTAGTTCATTGATTAAAGCCCCACTGCACTACTTATAGCTACGTGCGCCCTCTATATAGCAAACAATGCCTATGGGGTTACCATTGGTCCCCCATGGTTCCCTTTTTCTTATGTTAATTGAGAGCTGATTTGATGAGATAACCACCTGTCAGTGACCATGCAGGGAGGTCTAATCTCTCACGGCCAAACTAGTGCAGATAGACTTGAATAGGTAAGGTGAGGTATAGTAAGGTATTTATTCATCGACAGAAAATCAAGTGTCTTCCCCAAGCACACTGAACTTGTTTTCGCTCAGTTTGGGCATATATAAAGTATTGAAAAGGATAACACCATTACACTATGTCACTATAACAAATTTTTCTTTGATATTTAGAATGCTTAATTTGTGCGTAAAAGAGATCGTTTAACAATGTTATATCTGAGATGCACGGCCCTACGTGTTATCAGTGTCTGTGATATGGTGTTATATTGAAGCCCTAAAAAATTGTGCTTCAAAATGATCAAGAAGTGCCTCAAAAAAGTAGAAACCTTTGAGTAACCGGTTTTCCATACTTTTTTTTTTCCCATAGACTGTAGTGTTATGAAAACCTTTTGGCTAACGCAAAATTTGATTTCAATTTTCAATCATTAATATCTTGATAATCAGACAGGCGATCGGCTTGTAAAAGTCATGGGGTTCCTGACTGAAAGGTTTATAATTATCATTGCAGCATGAGCTAAATCCAGGATTATTTTCTAAAGGATCTCAGACAAAGTTACCGGATCCCTTTAAACAATAACACCACATACAGACTTCCAGGGGAGCAATGACTAATCATCAAAACCTAGAGTCTTTGTCACATATGTGTGACACAGGTAAAACAAGAGTTAATTACTTCATGATTTCTGATTATTTTCTCCATTTTACTCACCTTTGTTTTGTTTAGGCTACATGAACAAATCATGGCCGATACTTCATCAGCTCTAGAGAGTCTGCTACTTGATATCGATCACAGATTTGTAAGTATACAAGTCCAGATGCAGAGGTCAGAGGTCATCTACATTTGACACTGTACTGTCATTTCAATCTGAAACATCACTGTAACTAAACCTTATTCCAAAACATGGGCGGCCGTACAGGCACAATTTTGCTGTGTGTTTGTGTGGGGAGGGGAGGGAGGGCAGGGGGTTGGTTGTGTCGCCTTCTTGGTTATTTCTAAATTTTGTGAGCACATGCTAGAGTAGTGATAATCTCAAATGTCATTTAGAAACACACTATATAATATAGATATTCATTTTGCAATAAAGCTTTCTTCCATGTATTTCAATTAATTTCTTGTTTACTTTTCATTTCATTTAGTTATATGTTACCTTGTATATCATCTGTTCTTTGTAAAGTATATGTTGGTGTCCTTGGGACCTTTTGGCTCTAAGCAAACATAATGCTGACCACAAGTATTCTGCAAAATTGTGTTATTCTGTTACACTTTCACTATTTTCAGGGTCAGTTCTATCCATCTTCTCAGTTCTGCCGGTACAACATGTTCAACCATTACTTCCTGGATGGTGCAGAGAGTCAGGAGAGATGCAGGGAGTTCCTGACAAGAGACGATGGTGAAGGTGTCGTCATGATAACGGACCCACCCTTTGGGGGCATGGTGGATGCCCTAGCGTCAGGGGTCAAATGGATCATGGAGATGTGGAGGTCAAATGTCACACGTAGGTCAAGAGATGTCAAATGAATTGAGAAGAATTTTATTATTTTGCTTGCCCACATCAACTTTTTCCATACTTTTATTGGTATATATCTTTTTTTTAAATTATTATTTTAAAAAAAGGTTATTAAAAAAAAAAAACAACTAAAAGATCCCTCCTGGATGGTGGCTCAAAAGGCAAGACATGTAACCTCTGCGCTAAAAAAAATCATAAGACATATATATATATATATATAAAGAAACACACAAGAAAAACTTTTTACCCAGAATATAGCATACCAAAAATTTAAATATTCAAAAGATCCCATTTCTTGTTCCAAGAGTCAAGTCTATTGGTATATCATGCCCAGAAAATTGTCAGTTGATCATTCGACCAATTTATTAGGACTAAGAATGGCTGTGCTTTCCCTTTCCTTCCTGAAAAAGAAAGAGAGACCTTCCATGGTAAAGCTTAGTTCCATAGGAGATACATTGTCTCTAGTTCAACAACAAAACAAAGCTCTTAAGATTCAAGGTTACGAAGGAAAAAAATGGGGAAATTGGTAAATGGTATATGTTTATAATCTGAATATCCAAACCTCCTATTCCTTAGTAAATTAACATTAAGTTAGTTGTTTATTACTTTACTTCATGAAATAATCCCATGAGGAGGTGAAGAAAGTGTCAATAACACGGCCAGTGAGGTCATCAGAGGCCACGAGACTGGTTGGAGACAGTTCCGTCACCAAAGCTGCACCGTTATCTGGAACTAACCTCCTTCTTATCCAAGGAAGTTAGATTCCACAGAACAATAAAAAACACAGCAATTCAGTATATGTTACTGCGATGCATGATTCAATAAATACCATACCATACCATACCATACCATACCATACCATACCAATATGTTTATCTTAAATTTGACTTTCACTACCTGTGGATTATCTGTTGAGCTATTTCTCATGTAACTTGCATATTCATTATTTGAGCCTTGATCAAAAAGTTGTGGATATGTGTGTGTTATGAATTCATGTATTATTATTATTGTAAGTAGTAGTAGTAGTAGTAGTAGTAGTAGTAGTAGTAAACCAAAAGAATCCGTCTTTAAGTTATTTACATGTGGTAATAAACAAAATGTTGTCTCGTTTTAGATGTCAATCGATCGCTTCCTGTGATGTGGATATTTCCATATTTCTTGGAGCACAGAATCATAGAGGGTCTACAAGGATTTAAAATGCTTGATTATAAGGTAGGTAATCTATCATGGGGAAAGGGGTTGGGGAGGGGGGCATAGTTATTGTAAGGGGTTCTCATATTACAGTCGTAAAGATGATCAGTAGTACTACATTCCGTTGGTAGTGTTTGGTAATATAATCATTGACAAAAACAATTGTTTTTAAGCCAATCTTTGCCTTCATACATGTACTATTGCTAACAGTTATATCGCATTCTTGGTATAGAAAATGAATAAAACATGTATAGTTTGTCATTTCTAGTAACATGCATTGTGTAAATGCCTATTTACTGTGTTGGTAGCGAAAAAGATACATGTGGGGGGGGGTGGGGGGCCACCCCGCCCCCCCCTGGGAAAAAAGAAAGGGGGAAAAAAGGGGAATTTTTAAATTGTGATATTGTGATAGCCTGTCCACGATTTCACAGTCATTGTGGTCTACATATCTAGATGATATTCCTTATTTTGAATATATAGCAAACCCAGATAGTAGCCATTCCTAGCTTGTTCCAGTGCAATCTCATGGAGTTTCATAGGTTTTACATCAGTCTTACGCATGCCTGTTGCAAGCGATATGTACGTCCTAGCCCCAGTGTGTATTACTTGTACCTCTCATTTGTTCAATATTGCACCGGGAGAGTTAACAAGTTGGCAGCACCTTCGAACTGTTAGTATTTTGCTGTTGGTCAGCTAAAATCAAAGAAACCTTACCAATATTTCATCGAGTAAGGCTGACCAAAACTTAAATTAAGAATTTGTCGTTCAATTTTCCATCACGGAATAGCCCTGAACATAGAAGTCTCTGTGAAACTTTCAGCCAGATAAACATTCTGAACATGCTTAATATCATTTTTTCCAGGTGGATTACGACAACCATCCTCTGTTTAAAGGAGGACCAGATGCCAAGAAGAAAGGATCACCGGTCAGGATCTTTACCAACCTTGATCCAGCTAAGATAGAACTACCAACATCTGAAGGATACAGGTGGGACCAAGCTTTCTGATATATTAGAGAAAGTGCATGACTCTTGATACATGCACATTTATCTTGTATGCCATTTATTATAAAAGTGAGGTATGAATGTTGGACTGTATAAATGTCTCATTGTACTGACATTTCTTTAGTAAACAAATGCCAAGAAATGTATGAACAACTGTTAAGACTGTATGGTGTGTAATCTTAAATGCAAGAATGGCATTTGTCAAAAGCTGTTGCAAAGGTCGTTGTTACGTAAAAAAATTGTTTATTCGACTTGATGCTGTCTGATTATAGCTCACTCTCTCCTTTGCCCTCTCTCTCTCTCTCTCTCTCTCTCTCTTAGGTTATCTTGATTTTTGTTTCATGAACCTCTTATTCATTATGTGGACATCAACTCATTCTTCTAGTTGTTGTTTATGTGTTATCCGTGTTCATGTATATAAGAAGTTGTTATTAATTTTCTTTTGCAATAAAATTGGGGTTCATGCTTTAGATAAAGAGATTTCTGAAGATTTGGGGGAAGGTGAAGGTGCCTGGCAAATTATAATTTAACTAGTAAATACAGACAGAAATAATAAGAATCAAATATACCATTACTACTTTCATTACATGTATTTTCTTCTTATTTCTACAACCACTGCTGCTGCTGTTTTTTCTTGAGATTTGAATATTTCTTTGTTCTATCTTTCAGATTATGTAAGGAATGCCATCGCTATGTAGCAGCCGAGAATGTCCACTGCTCCAAGTGCCAGGAGTGCCCGTCTAAGAACGGTACAACATACACCCACTGTGAGATCTGCAACAAATGTGTTAAGCCATGTAAGTCTGTCTTCTTCTTTTTCTTCAAGAGTTGTCACCCTTTAAAGGAACAAATGTAAGAATGCCCACCAAAATGAGCATGGTTGGTTGACTACCCGGTACAGCCAAATGAAATGATGTAAGCGTAGTACACTTCTTGTTTTGGTATCTTATGACATACATAAGTTACCTCTTTTTTTGCAAGGATTGTCCCCCTTTAAAGGAACAAATGTTAAAGGCCCACCAAAATGAGCATGGATTGATTATTAAATAGATCAAATGGAAAGGGAAACCACGGCAACCAAATGAAATGATGTAAGCGTAGTGCACTTTTCATTTCTGCATCTTATAACATACATATGGGCCTCTATTGTGCATGGCTTCTTTATTCACCTCCATTTGTCATACGCATGAAATAATAGTTTTCAAGTGAAATTCAAGACAACATACATGATATGAGAGGAATAAAAATGATTGCCAGTTATAATTAAGATAATTTGAATTAATCATATTCCATATCCTTACCCATCAGCCTTCAGCCACTGTACCAAGTGTAACATGTGTGAGTTAGCGACTCATGACTGCGGTAAGGTCCAAGCTGGTTGCCATGTGTGTGGAGCTCTCGACCACAAGAGGAGAGACTGTCCAAAGAGATCGTCGTCATCATCCAAAAAAAGGTAGGAAATTGTTGGTGATCTGGGGAGTGTTTCACAAAGACTTAGATTGACTTTAAGTTGGACTGAACTATGGCAGGTCGTTCAGGCCACTAGTTCCTCTAACCATTTCTGGCATTGATTTTTCAAGGGATGTACAAATCGTGGGCACAAATTTACAGAATTTACATGTTTTGATAGTTCATTATTGAATGAAAATATATTACCTTAAGATCATAATTGAGAGACCAATGGTGAGAGTAACCAGTGGCATGAATGGCCTGCCATAGTTGAGTCCAACTTAAAGTCGATCTTAGTCTTTGCGAAACACCCCCCTTATCTACGCTCCGTGACCAGACTGCACCGGTTATCTTTTCTCTGGGCTATATTTAGTCAGAGATGTAAGGTTATAAGAGCTACAATTGATGATCATGACAATAAAATTAATACCGTAGTCATTATAATGATAATAATCAAAACAATAATAATAATAACAATAATAATAACAACAACACCAGCGATAGTGCATTTCATGTCTGTCACATGTGACATTGCTGGCGTGAATCAGTTGTTGTTACTATAATGGTCCTTTCAATTACCTTTCAATAATAGTCTTAAAAACTGCAAGACCATTATTCATACCGATGGTCAGTTATGGTGTATTTTGTTTCCGCTTATATTCTAGCATAAAACAGGAACTAAATAACTATCTTTAATCATTTGCTTTGTTATGTTTTGTTTATGACCATTTTGGTGGGCCACATCAGATTGTCTTGTGGGCCTCTGTGAACAAGGGTTACAGATTATGTCTTTGAATTGAGTAAAAATTTGTGTAGTGCTTTTTCTCACTTTAACAGATTACTCCACTGGTATCATATTGTAACCATTAGAATAATAATAATAATTCGTTCTAATATAGCGCTTTTCAGGACCGCAGGCCCTCTCAAAGCCCTATACAGATATCTATTATTACCCCTGTCATCAGATTCAGGCTTACCCGCACACTATGTATGCACATTCTCCATTCCCTGGGGAGCATTCCAGCCAGGCGTCATTTTTTACAAGCGCACACTTGCTCATCTAACAACAATAAATAGAAGATGAGACTTAGAAAATTGTAGCCTTTACGTGCATAAGTCAAGCACTGTGAATACACCTCTTTACTTTGCGTAATCCAATTTATACGAAAATAAATTCTCACTATTTGTTTTCTTCTAACAGATCATATGAGGAGGCTGTTAGCAGTGATGCCAGCAAGCTGTTGACATGGACAAAGAGGAAGAAGAGGAAGAATCCTGCACTGTCTTCGGTCCTGCGTCATTTCAGACCGGTAGAAGAACAAGCTGTTGGGACTCCTCGGGCAGCGGTCCATCCAACCATCAGCAAACGTCCGGGTGAGAATGGAGTCCAGTCTCCAGGATCCATCGGAAGCCCATGTATCAGTGCCACAGGGTCGTCACCACTGCAATCGCTGCAGTTAACTCCCATGACCAAAGGCATTCAAAGTCCTGAAGAAGGCATTGGAAGGACAGTTCAACCTGATGACTCTACGCAGGAATCACCATGTCCGTCCAAAGTTGATGGTAACGATAACATCCTTGAAGGATCCATGGACGGGTCGGGATTCAGCACAGAGAGCAGTGTGGTCGAGAGCCCTCGTAGTTTACGAAAGGGACAGTCTTTATCGAGTTTAAGTGGCATCGGAACACAAGATGTGAGGAAGGGAAGGGTTGATGGGAAGAAGATGTCTAAGCTGAAGAGTAAAAAGAAGAAGCTGATGGAGAGGATCGAGAAGTTGAGAATGAAGAGAAAGATTACATTAAAACTATGAAATCTTAAAGGAAAAATTGATTTGATTTGATTCAAATTTTCGGTTTCTGCCAAATTTGGTTTCATCCAGACAATATTTAGAACATACATTTTCATAAGCATAAGTAAAATTCTGATGCCATAAAGAGAGGTGTTGTGGTCTGGTGGATACGTCATTGGTCCATGGATCACAGGGTTTGAGGTTCAAGTCCCGCTGTGGCACTAGTGTCCTTTGGCAAGACATTAATTAATCTACATTTGCCACTCTCCACCCAGGTGAGGTAAATGTGTACCTGGTAGGAAGGAATTCCTTGAATGCTTTTGTGCCTTATTATGGTGGCTCAGCTTCAGCTGGGGTAATAATATGAAACTTTGTATGAACTGCAGTAGAGTATATTCATATAGTAGCTGCGCTATATAAATGGACCTATTATTATAAAGTCCTTCCTGTTACTTCAGATGTCTATGAAGCTCTTACAAAATGACTGAATTAAACATTGTTAAAGTTCAAATCATGTACATGTAGTACACTTGGTGTCTATTTATGTGTCATATTAGATAAGCTACTGCTGGACCTACTGCTGTCGATATGGTAGATACTTGATTTACAGCGGTAATCAAATTGCCACAAATGTGATATTGTGCAGCCCTTTCCACAGACCTTGACAAAAGTTATAACCGCAGAGAAAATGTATAAATGGCAAAATTTGTCCCATATTTTTGTGCTTCAACCTTCAAAATGTGTATTGCTATGATCATGCTCTTTATAATTACAGCAGACTATTGTGTGTATTCATTACATGTATATGTATGTGATGTGTAGTAAGCAAATATTGATCGACTACGAGGGTAATGGTAACTATTATCGCCGAGGTGATCTCGGGGCTACTATCATGATGTTGGTAGCCTCGAGATCACCGAGGCGATGATAATTTGTATCCATTGCACGAGTAAAGGAGGTTAATATTTGTTTTATATCCCACATCGGCAATAAGGTTTATTTAAAGTGAATTTTACATAATAATAAGAACTGATTCTGCAGACAGTTTAGCTTCAGCTAGATTTTACAAAGCGCAACATGCATACATGTAATACAGTCGATGCGCGCTCATTTGACATTGACTTTGACATTTCGCGTAACCTACTTTGCCATGCATATTCAATGGGCAAGGGTGGGCAAGTGGGGTAGCAGCAAAAAATTACTTTACAAAAGTACTATCTCAGGTAGATAGTACTTATCTTTCTTTTATCATGTGACCTCGTTTAGACCAATCGGATGGTAAGATTCTTTGTATGCGGGATATAAAAGTGTATAGCTGACGCCTTCTGAAACAGAAATGAAAATTATAATCTATTTTGATTTATTGGACCAATATGTTCATAGAGCTAAAGCTTATTATACAAGTATGATTTGCACAGGTGATATATATGTATATATTGGATTTGAAAAAATTAAAGAACCAGTGCCATAACTTTTAAATGAAAAGTGATTTTGATTTGTTTGAGATTCAGAACTTTCCTATAAGGAAAGTGTTTATTGTAGTAGATTAATTAATACTTACATATACTGACAAACTCTATGGTCTGTATTCTACTAAATTCAGTTAGAACTTTGGTCTAAATCATGTTTAACAAAGGAAAAACTTAGACCTCTTACTGACTTCCTTTGATAACCCTGATTTTGAAGAAAAGCTTGAAGCCTTAAACCCAATATCGGGTTTAAATGTCAGACGAAAATTGGGCCATAGGGCCACGAAACCACTTCATTATACCGTGAGTGTCCTGTAGTATAAGAACTACTATTCTGAAAAAATTGCAATTTCTACATATGCTTGTTAATATTATTATAAATGCAATATCAATGTAACAGTAAAAGAAAATACTTTTTTAGAGTAGACATATTTCTGAAGCAAAGCAATTATGTTATACATGAAATTATGTTTAGACTTCATCATGCTAGGTATGATCAGAACAAAGTATGTAAATTCTGCAACAAAAAAGTCTTTTGTGATTCTATGCTTGTGATGTACATACAGCCGATGCATGAATGTACATCTATGTACTGTATAATCTATGTGGTGTCCAGAAATATATTGGAATATAGAGGTGTTGTGGTCCAGTGGATAAGTCACTGAACTATGAACCACAAGATACAGGGTTCAAATCCCTGCTACAACACTAATGTCTTTTGGCAAAGACGTTAATCTACATTTGCCACACTCCACCCAGGTGAGGTAGATGGATACCTGGCAGGAATATTCCTTGAAATGCACTGTGCATTGATAGGGACGTTATATCGTAATGTGTTATGCACTATGTAAAAACGGATTATAATTATTATTATATTTTAGGTCAAAGTTATGTCATCAAGTACGTATGTGTAAAGAGATTATGTTGAGTTCTTGTCATGCAATTTGATTTTGAAAGAAACTGCCTACAAGTTATTTAGAATCGAATAATCATGTGAAATAATGTTATAGAATCATCAACATTTTGAAAGAATTTGACTAATAAATCTTGCTGAATATCAGAAACATTGATCCGCACTGGACACAAGGGAATAATGGCGTTAAAATTTGGTCTCTTGTTGTAAAGTATTTCTAGTGCTTCTTGAAATATATAATATTACTTCTGGTACTTGTTAGTGTTCTATGTGTGGAGGAAAATAATGAGAAAGTTCACAAACTGAATTTCACATTTACTTGTACTCGGTCTTCTCTTTGAAGAATTTTAGTGTGTCACTGTGTCTTCCATCATGGGCTGCTTGTGTCAAAATTTGCAACTAAATGCAACTCCATGAAGTTGCACAACTCCTACATACACATACTTGATTCTGATGCATTCTAGTTCTATAGTTGCGTATATATGTGATAGTCAGAAGTTTATACGAGAGATCTATTTGAAAGTTGTTTTCTATGATATTTTGATTTTCTTATCATATCAGAATGATTGTACTATTAAACTTATTGAAATGAATTTGTTGCCTAATGCCAGCTAGAGATGCGCTATTCATTGTACATGTACACACTTGTTTTTAGTTGTTCATATTCATTGTTTGAAGGGGAAAAAGCAATTTGTTGCTCTATAACTTCATCTTTAGAAATTATTTTATATATTTTAAGCAAGCTGTCTAAACAAGCATAAACCATCTGAATATGTGATATGCTAGCTTCTGCACAAAGCTCTTTTATGCTGTAATCAACCTGTCTCAAACGTTTCTAAACTTTTCCTGAAGATATCAGTTTGTTGTTCTATATTTTCAAGCCAGAGAATTATAAAAAGTAGCCTGTATCAAGCAAGCATGAACATTATCTCAATTTATGAATGCTTAGATTTTTCACAATGCAGTAAGGATCCACAATATGAGTGCATTATATTATTACTACTTTAGATGCAGTGTCCTGCCATAGTTTGCCTGGTAGTAAGTTTGCTGTAGGTTTAGCGGAAGCTTACAGGTTGGAGTATGCATATATTGTTTTGATTGAGCATCATGAATGTGATTCTTATAAAAACATGATTGAGATGATAGCCACAATTTCCTGCAGAGTATGTAGGAAAAGCCTACCGGTAGTTAATCATGTGATCTTTGGGATGAGGATGAAAGATTAACAATTCTGATTGTTTATAACTCAAATGTATTTTGAATATTTTTCCCCCCCCAAATACCCTTGTCAATATAGTACTTAAAATTGGTCATTAGATTTTTTTTTTCAATTTTAGGGAGGGGATATATCAAATCTATATGATCCGTGTATTCATGTTTTATTGAAAGATTCTGAACACAATTCCTTTGAGCATTGCACATGTAATATCTGACAAAATCTTTTCCTATCCATTGTTATTAGCTCATGACTCTGAGTAAAGAGATGGGCCCCGCATATTCAATATATATTACATCCTTCAATTGCACAATGTGCAAGTCTTAGGATGGTAGAAAAGTTTTAACTTTGGAGTGATAAATAATCAAAGGTGTTTTTTTTTTTTTTTTTTTTTGTGCTAAACATGAGTACTTGATGCATTATCATTGGTGATTTGACAGGTTGCAGTTAATTTTAGTTATACTGCCCTCTTGGTATCAAAGTATGAAATATTTAATCTCGGACTGGCCCCAAAATTGCCAGGGTATTGTGATAGAACCAGTGGCCTGGTAAACGGTGAGAATTAAAAGATGAAACGGATAAATGAACATGATTCTTTTTGTAATGCTATACGAATGAAATAAATGCTAAATTTGCAACTATGAAATGCTGAGTCTCTCTGTCTGTTTTTTTTAAATTACTGATAAAACTTGTGGTTTGTGAATTATAACTCTGTGAATTTGATGTTTAATCGTGTGTACTTTGAAAAATGAAACAGACGGATTTACAAATGTCAATACATGTATATGATTTTTTTTCTTTCTGTCATTGTTTTAAGCCAACATTGTTATTTCCAATTTCAGAACAGTTGTTAAGTAAGAGAATGTGAAGGTTTTTCTGAAGTTCCCTGATTTGTATGACTCGAATCAGGGGGAAAAATCACTACAATTTTTATTTTTCACAAAAGAAAGTAGTCACCAGAGAGTCGCTTCTATTGGCCTGTGTCCTCCCAGCATATTTACATTTACTAGATGATAAGTTACACATGTATATGGTGGCATTTTAGTGTGTAAAATGAATGAATGATCCTCACATTTTGAAACTCTATCAGGAAAAATAAAAATAGGGAAAAATCGGGGAATCTTTTTTTCACAAAAATGCTGAGGATCCTGTCCGGTGCATGCGTACATGTATAGTATCCAACAAAAGTGAGTACACCCCTAGGCCCTATTAAAAGTCTAACATTCCAATGTTAACTCCTGAGCGCCCTGCACTGTTTTCATCTAATAAGTAAATTATATCTATCAAGGTACATTATTACAGAATCGTAGATCTACCACTGCTTTAAGGCTTGCTTTTGTAATACATCTTTGTAAACAGTTTTACAAAGTTGTAATAAGATATTCAATTTTTTATTGGGGTATACTCATTTTTTTGTTGAATACTGTATCTACCCTTTAAGGTAGGACTTTAAGGAGAGATGGAATTCATCTGGAACAACCGCATGTAGACGAATGGATTCTTTACCTCAGTCACACTGACGAGACCGACATCAGACTGACAACAGACCAGACATAAAATTACATTTCCTCGAATGACCAAAGATCGGTCGAGTTGGAATCGGGCGGTTTGGCGGTGTGACGG